GCGTGAGCTGAGTTGACTTGGAATCAGCGGCTGCGCTCATATGACCGTCGTGATTCAGTTTTCATCATACCAGACCTCATGCTAAGAAATGGACACAATGCAAATAACAAGAAAACAATGCAACTAAAACGAATCAGCGGCATCGTGATGATTCAGTTGCAGGCCGATGCCAATCGCCAAGCAAGTTGTCCACGCGGCACTTGGCCGCAAGCAAGCCATGCCCAAAAACGCCTCGCGCCTCTTCCCTCATCTGCATTCACGTGCGCCCAAACAGAACTGCGGTGATACCAGCGGAGAGATTTCCCTGGGAAAATGGCAGGGTGACAATCACCAAACTGCCCAACAATCTCTGCAGACCCGTAGCACCAGAAGGCCATGATAGCTGACCTCACGGTGACTCTGGGTGCAATACCTAGACTTTCTGCCTGCAGTGAATGCAACATGTCAACGTGTGGCCGGTCAGCGTGAGCTGAGTTGACTTGGAATCAGCGGCTGCGCTCATATGACCGTCGTGATTCAGTTTTCATCATGCCAGACCTCGCGCTAAGCAATGGAACAATGCTAAAAGGCAGCAAGGCAACTGCTACGAAACAGCGGCATCGCGATGATGCAGCGGCAGCCCGATTCAAATTGACAAGCAAGCCGTCCACGCGGCACTTGGCCACAAGCAAGCCATGCCCAACTAACGCCTCACGCCTCTTCCCTCATCTGCATTCACGTGCACGCCAACAGGACTGCCCCTGTCCCCTGCGGTGATACCAGCGGAGATGGCAACCACTCCCTGGGAAAATGGCAGGGTGACAATCACCAGACTGCCCAACAATCTCTGCAGACCCGTAGCACCAGAAGGCCATGATAGCTGACCTCACGGTGACTCTGGGTGCAATGCCTAGACTCCCTAGACTTCTGTCCGCAATGCATGCAACATGTCAACATGTGGCTGGTCAGCGTGAGCTGAGTTGACTTGGAATCAGCGGCTGAGCTCATATGACCGTCGTGATTCAGTTTTCATCATACCAGGCCTCATGCTAAGCCATCATACAATGCAACAAGGAAACAGGGAAACAATGCATCTGCTACCAATCAACGGCATCGCGATGATGCAGTTGCAAGCCGATTCCAATTGACAAGCAAGTCATCCACGCGGCACTTGGCCACAAGCAAGCCATGCCCAACAAAAGCCTCACGCCTCTTTCCTCATCTGCATACACGTACACCCCAACAGGACTGCCCCTGTCCCCTGCGGTGATACCAGCGGAGATGGCAACCACTCCCTGGGAAAATGGCAGGGTGACAATCACCAGACTGCCCAACAATCTCTGCAGACCCGTAGCACCAGAAGGCCATGATAGCTGACCTCACGGTGACTCTGGGTGCAATACCTAGACTTTCTGCCCGCAGTGAATGCAACATGTCAACATGTGGCCGGTCAGCGTGAGCTGAGTTGACTTGGAATCAGCGGCTGTGCTCATATGACCGTCGTGATTCAGTTTTCATCATACCAGGCCTCATGCTAAGCCATCATACAATGCAACAAGGAAACAGGGAAACAATGCATCTGCTACCAATCAACGGCATCGCGATGATGCAGTTGCAAGCCGATTCCAATTGACAAGCAAGTCATCCACGCGGCACTTGGCCACAAGCAAGCCATGCCCAACAAAAGCCTCACGCCTCTTTCCTCATCTGCATACACGTACACCCCAACAGGACTGCCCCTGTCCCCTGCGGTGATACCAGCGGAGATGGCAACCACTCCCTGGGAAAATGGCAGGGTGGCAATCACCGGACTGCCCAACAATCTCTGCAGACCCGTAGCACCAGAAGGCCATGATAGCTGACCTCACGGTGACTCTGGGTGCAATACCTAGACTATCTGCCCGCAGTGAATGCAACATGTCAACATGTGGCCGGTCAGCGTGAGCTGAGTTGACTTGGAATCAGCGGCTGCGCTCATATGACCGTCGTGATTCAGTTTTCATCATACCAGGCCTCATGCTAAGCCATCATACAATGCAACAAGGAAACAGGGAAACAATGCATCTGCTACCAATCAACGGCATCGCGATGATGCAGTTGCAAGCCGATTCCAATTGACAAGCAAGTCATCCACGCGGCACTTGGCCACAAGCAAGCCATGCCCAACAAAAGCCTCACGCCTCTTTCCTCATCTGCATACACGTACACCCCAACAGGACTGCCCCTGTCCCCTGCGGTGATACCAGCGGAGATGGCAACCACTCCCTGGGAAAATGGCAGGGTGACAATCACCAGACTGCCCAACAATCTCTGCAGACCCGTAGCACCAGAAGGCCATGATAGCTGACCTCACGGTGACTCTGGGTGCAATACCTCGACTTTCTGCCTGCAGTGAATGCAACATGTCAACATGTGGCCGGTCAGCGTGAGCTGAGTTGACTTGGAATCAGCGGCTGTGCTCATATGACCGTCGTGATTCAGTTTTCATCATACCAGGCCTCATGCTAAGCCATCATACAATGCAACAAGGAAACAGGGAAACAATGCATCTGCTACCAATCAACGGCATCGCGATGATGCAGTTGCAAGCCGATTCCAATTGACAAGCAAGTCATCCACGCGGCACTTGGCCACAAGCAAGCCATGCCCAACAAAAGCCTCACGCCTCTTTCCTCATCTGCATACACGTACACCCCAACAGGACTGCCCCTGTCCCCTGCGGTGATACCAGCGGAGATGGCAACCACTCCCTGGGAAAATGGCAGGGTGACAATCACCAGACTGCCCAACAATCTATGCAGACCCGTAGCACCAGAAGGCCATGATAGCTGACCTCACGGTGACTCTGGGTGCAATACCTAGACTTTCTGCCCGCAGTGAATGCAACATGTCAACGTGTGGCCGGTCAGCGTGAGCTGAGTTGACTTGGAATCAGCGGCTGCGCTCATATGACCGTCGTGACTCAGTTTCATCATGCCAGGCCTCGCGCTATGAAATGCTGTTACAATCAATTGTTGCGAATCAACGGCATCGTGATGATGCAGCGGCAACCCGGTTTCAACATGACAAACAAGTCATCCGATTGGTGGCTGGTCGAGCAAGCCTTGACCGACAACTCTCCTGTCCTTTTTGCCCCGCCTGCATCCATGTGCACCTCAAAAAGAACTGGCCATGTCCCAGGATAGCAGCAAGCATACCATGCACTCCCCCTGTGCCACTCATTCAGCGGTTCAAGCAGAAACCTTGAAACCCTCGGAATCTCAGACCCCCAGTGGATTTCCACGAGGAAAAGGAATCGACACTCGTTGCCGGCCGTCGATTTCAAAGGGTTTCGCAACCCTCCTGCCCTAAAGGAGGCCCCCTCCCTCCCCTTCCCCCCCTCCCCTAACCCCCCGTCTCTCCCCCCCACACACACACAGAGACGGAGGGCTCCGGCCCATCAAAAGCCGAATGCGTCCTCCGCGTTGGTGATGATGTTCCAGCTGTGGCCCCCCAGCCGCCCCGCCGCCGCCTTGTCCTCCACGCAGCAGCCCCGGTGCCCCCGGTCCGATTTGTCGGCAGCCATGGCAGGCGGAGAAAGCCGGTCTCGGGTCCGTGGATCCCTTACTCAAATCATAGAAACCAGAAGCAAAGGAAAACAATCTACAGGAAATGTCCCAAGCACACATCAAAAACGAGGATTTTCTGTAGAATGTCCAGTAGCTGGTTGCTTAGATGAAAGTTAGATCCGTTGGTGGTTATTGAACAATATTATCTACTGGACTTTCCCTTGCTAACAGAACAGTCTTTGTTATAGTGCTTCTGTGTTCAGGGGCCGTGAGTTCGCAGTCACAACTGATCGTCTTTCGATGGGGAAAGGTTTCCAAATCATTTAACCACAAGTGCTATGTGTGTGTGTGTCTCCCCAAAAAGAGAAATGGCGCAACGCATGCTACGTCTATCATTTCTTCAGCTGTCACAGGGGCGATTCCATGCGGAGGCTTGCATGGTTTGAGCCAAGGGACGGTCGGTTCCCACATTCCCGTAGCTTCAGGCAACCCCTTCATACCACAGAAGTGGGAAGGAACCACTTCCTATAAGCTTGACAAGAGCCGCAGTGAATGTTAACTGTGCCCTCAACATGATGGAACAACATCTTCTTGCCTGTCTACCTCTTGTTGCAAATGCCTTCTGCTGGGTCCCATGTTAGTGGGAGAGCAACCTTTGTCTGACCACCAGTGCACGCTTTGTATATTTAAACAGGACCCGGAAGTAAAAGGGCTAACCCCCTTTCGGATCCTTGGCTGACGACAGTCCAACATGGGACAACTGCAAGGTCAACATCTGAGGTCCTACATAACCCCAAATGAAGGAGGTACCCTGCCCAGTACAAGACCTCCCCCCCGAGGAAAAGTGCCTCAAAAGACATGGAACCCCGCTGGCTAACAGCAACCCTCTTTCAGGTTCCACAATTGTCTCTGGGGAGGTAGGGAACATAGCCACTATACATATATACTCGGAGACAATGATACCACAACAAACCCATGGGACATGGACCACCAAAACCGAATGGGACATGGACAAACGACAGAATAGCATGATTGTGAGGGAAACAAGTTACATGGTCGGAACATTCTCACCAATGGGTGGTCGCATAAACCTTTTTTGGTGGTTCCAACTCTCCAAATGCACCAACTGCTCCCTGGAAAAGAAGAGGGCCCCATTAGGACACACTTTGAGTGCGGCTGTGCAGCTGCACCGGTGTAGGCCCGAAATTAGCCACGCCAGCTGATTTGGAGCCAAACCCTTGTAAACGTGGCTTAGGGACTTAGGGATGTATCCTTCAAGGAATCCTGAACACGCCGCACCAATATTTGCATTTCTCGACCTGGAATAAAAAAGACTTCGGTCTTCCTTTAAGTTTCCTTTTTTCAAACCACACAAAAAGGGACCAACTCAACAAAAGACCAAGGCCCCCATGAGCGCTTGTGCCAAATTAGGAGCCTGGGACCCGACCGATTTGATGGCGCTGAGGTAGGGGCCATCAAGCCCCAGGGCAGGAAGTTGAGGATGCCGAAGAGGACCACCCCCAGGTAGGCAAAGAAGGGGCAGTGGAAACCTGGCGTGCTCCGCAGGAAAAACAAACACAACATCTCTTCGCAGAGCCAAAAACACATCCGCAGCGTCCCACTTGATTCTCCAACCCAGCGAATTGCTTCCCACTGGAGAAATCAGCCATCCCCAGGTGCTCAATCCCCCTTACTCAAAAACACGTTCTAAACAAAAATCAAAGTGTGGCTTCTATCTTAGGTGCCCCGTAAGCCAAATCCTCGCCTTTGTTCAGTTGGTATATTTGGAAAACACATGTGATGTTCATCGTACATACATCCTGTTTTGGTCAGGGGTTGATAAGTCATACCCCAAAACAGAGCATGTTTGGAGTTTTGGAAAATATAGAAAGCCAATGAATGTTCTACCGTTCCTCCTCGTTTGGCCAGTTGTTAAGGCCCAGGAGTGAGCCTGGTATACGTCCCCCAAGATGCTCTCGCAACTCAAAATTGGGGGGACGTATCGGTCCTCTGTGCACATCGCCCAAACAGGGGACGCATAGTGCCTTGAACATGTTGTTGGCCCAAAGACTCAAAACATACAACCTAAAGTTCCGCTGGGGCAGTTGTAAAATAGACCCGTGTCAACCACATGAGAGGAAGGGCTAAGGATGGATGAGCACGGAGAGGTGTGGGAAGGGAAGAGGGGCAAGGGGGAAGGAGAAAGGAATTAAGGGAACGGGCCAGAAGACTCGTTGAACTTGTGGTTCTAGCAACATACGTACAAGGGCAATTTTGGCCTGGGCGTTCAAACAAAAAGCTTGCAAGCTGGCAAGACGATTGGCATAGTTATTGAGCACTCAAAAATAGCATTCCTTTCAACATCACCCGACCGAGGGAAACTCATTTTACAATGGCCCCAAGCGTCCCAAGAAACAGTCAAAAACAATTTCTGGTGTTGATACTGACAGTCGCAGCCCCCAAGAAACCACCGTTCTCAGGTTTCCATCTTTCATAAGCTGAAAAAACAAAAAACGTCTGTGACGTTGACCCCACAACGTTGGAAACAAGTGCTTCTGATTCTTGCAACCCTCCCCCCAGAAACATGAGGATGATCCCCCGTCACTCAAAGTCGCTGCTTGGGCACCTGGGCTCTGTGGAAGCGGAAACCAAAAGAAAGCCTCAACCACCTGGAAAAAACATCCTCATCCCTTTATCCCCCATCCACCTTCCCCTCCCCCAAAAACCCCCCCCCCCCCATCCCCCTCGCCCCTCCCAAACTGTCCATCTCAAACATCCCCCCATCCCCCCCTCACCCATCCCACCAAACAGAGCGCCTAGAAGCAGCGCGCCCTGGCGCTCCGCGGCAACCTCGAGGAGGAACTCCAGCCTAGGCCCACGGTTTTTTCCCCCAAGCCCCCAGTGGCCAGGCGGAAAAAAGAAAAGGGCCCTCGTTGATGTTCAAGGGGCCCGCCCCCCTCCCTAAAGAAGGAGAAAAAACGGCTCGCAACCTGCTTCGGGTCTGGTTTCAGCCCCATGCAAAGGGGGAGACTGCAAATGTGAGGCTTCTAAAACCTGAAATGAAACTTGGATGCCCAACGAAAGGACCTGGTGAGCTCGTGCAACACCCGAACCAGTGCGCTCGCCATAAAACAGCATCAACCTTGACTGCAGGGCGCGGCCACGTTGAACCGTGGTGCCCTTTTTGGGGGTTGTTGGAAACCGGGTATCCCAGTATTTCTCATTTGCGTGGTTTGATTTCAGGAGCGAAAACTGATAAGGGGCAACCTTGGCGAGGGGATCCAGTCGGGAGGGGACTACGAATCAGGTCCCAACATTGAAAATTTCCACGGGCCCAGGCCCTTGTGACCAGGAGGCCATGCCACCATCTCTGCATCCGCTCCTTGGGTCATTTGGGCACCAGGATAGCCTGAACCGCGGATCTGCGGCGGCCCTCGGTCTTTTTTGGGGCCCCACCTTGCCAGTGCGGTGAGCCTGCTTCTGTCCTTGCACAGGTTTTTATGTCGTGCTCCGACAGGCCTGTCAAGAGTTCCGGCTCCGAGCTGGTCCTTGCACCATGGAGCTTGTACTGGCAAGCCCGGTGGAGACATCGTCATGAATCAAATCCCACGGCCTGCACCTTGTTGGATTCATCAACTTGAAGAAGAGACTGGGACCGCAACTCTGTGAACCGCGCCCAAAATGGTTCCCTTGCAAACCCGCTGCCCGGCTTTAGTGGACCACGTTCTGCGCCCCCCTGTTCTGTCTCCTTCAAATCAAGTAAAACAATATCATAGGTAAACCAACCATACTGAACCACGAAACCTTGGTAAATCACAGGTAAATTAGAGAGTTGGCTTCCTTGTTTCCCTACTTCCAATAGAGGCATTACCCAGGTGGGCTTCTGTGTTTTTGAGCATCTAAATACCCGGCAGTTCAAGGGTATTGTTCGCAAGGTAAATACGTTTGTTTTAGGCAAGTATCGACACCATACTCCATCATACCCTGAAAAAAGTTGGTATTGGGTGTAGGGGATACTCTTGTTATGTCGGCTTGAGGGACACCAAGAAGGAAACGGGAAACCCATGATCGGGGTCCAATTCCCTGTCTGACACGTATCCAGGTAGCATCTCAACTGGCCCGAAAATATCAAACGGAAATTTCTACGGAACCTGCCTGCCTCTCAACAAATGTATGCTCAGGTACTCTGTTGCCGCTCCACTTCTCCCATTATTTCCCTTCCAGAAAGGAACCAAACTTTTACCACTATGATGGTGCAGCCCCGGAAAGTGCCTAAAGTCTGAAACGGAGCTCCGTAAGGGAGGGCCCCATGCTCCATTTCGCAAAGGCACCCAAACGTGGCTGGAAGTGAAACCACCCCAGTGTCTCACTTGGCTGTGGGTCAAATATATGTATCCAAAATGGGTTGCCCTGGTAAATGGAAACAAGGACTCCAACTTGCGGTCCAATTCCTGGTGGTTGAATTTTGACCCATACGTACCCATATGGCTCCAAGTCAGCTTTTCAACAAACACTTTAAGAGGGCGCCGCTTGCATCATGACCAGGTTGGACCAGGGAACCTTCGGGCTCTAAGTGACCCCTTGACGAGAAACGCAAAACGACCCCCGCGGCCCAAAGCTTTGGCCGTGGCCAGCTACACACCGACTGCAGCTTTGGCTGCCGGCCGCCAGTGGACACCTAGGCCACGAGCTCCGATTCTGAGCAAAAGGTGGGGCCCAATTCTGAGCAAAAGGGCGTGAAACCTCTTTTGTAGGCCTTTTGTAGGTTCAGTGGAAACTCTGTAGGTTTCTCTCCTTTAATGGGAATCGCTCAAATAGGCTGCGCATATGGGACCGTCTCTCCTAAAGCGAGTTCCCCTGCAATGTCTCATGGACCTCGACATTTCGATTCAAAAGCAACATGGGACAGCCTAAAACTGAGGTCCCTCGAACGAAAGAAACACACAGACGCACACAATGCGCGTGCGTCCTTTTCCAGCCCCCCATCCACCCCAGTCGCTCGTCGGAATTTTTTTGCGGCCAGGCGGCCACCACGGAACGGGCCACCGCCGCGCACGTGCCCAAGGCTAACATCGACCTTGAGGGCAGCACCTCGGACGCGTCGGTGGGTTGGGGTCAAACCAAACCCATGGGGTCCGACTAATTCGGTCAACATGAGGACTGAAATGGGGGAAACACAACATGCCGAAAATTGGTGGCAATGAGCCAGTGGGTCGCTTGGGTTTTGGGTTTAACCCCTGTCATGATTTGCTGACCCGCTGCTCTTTGGTTGAACCAAAGGGCAGTGGCTGGGCAAAAGTCGGCTGCTTGTGGGCATCTATGTTTGCTGCAAGCAAGCCATTCTAGATCAGAAGTCAAACAAAGGAAAAAATGCATGGTCCCTCGGATTAATAACCCGTCCTGTCAAAAAGGGGGAATCACCCACAAAAGTGAAGACGTCCCACTAAAAGGGCACATCCCCTGTTAATCACCCAGGCGTTTATTCATCCCCACCGTTAACATCACTACACTGGAGACTGGTCCACTGCGTAGCAAAGGCCTTTCTTCTGCAGGAGTCGCAAAGGAGGAGCCTTCTAGTGTTGCCTTGGAACAAAGGAGGACGAACTCTCCGACAAACATGTTCAGGTGGAAGGACTGTCCTTGGTAGCCCTCAAAGCAAATCACCAACATCAAGCATCTTGAATCCTGGACATCCAATTCGGTCTTGCGCTTGGGAGACACCATTCTGTCTTCTTGGCAAGGTGACACGTGATAGGAGGTTCACATTTTGACGCAAGAAGTGGGAGGAAAACGCGGGAGATCCAGAAGAAGTCACGATGAAAAACAACGGAGACCGAGCAAAAACAACAAAAGCAAGGAAAGCAAAACGCGAGGCGCGAAAAGCTCAAAAGAAACAAAGACGCTAACACGGCAGACTACAACCGGAACCACAACACCAAAAGCACAAAAACACACAAGCAAACCAAAAACGCAAACCAAAACAAACCAACACAAGCCAAAACACACCCGCAATCAAAACCAGCGAACACCAACATACCAACACATACTGACACAAGAGGTTTCCAGGACAAACCAACAGCCAACAGGCTGATACACACCAAACAACAAAGAACATCAAAGCAAAGTCAAAACAGCACCATACCGGGACAATCCAACACAAGCCAACACGAACCCGACACAACAGACCAATGCACACGAAATAGCAACACACGTCAAATCAACAGAAACGACAACATTAGCCCGATGAAACCAAGCACACAACCACGAACCCAAAGACCAGAGTCCCTTTTAAAACTATGGGACATCATGAAATCTGTTGAAACGCAAATGGAAGCTCTGTTCCCTTAGCAGTACGGGTATGCATTTTAATTAGAGGCCCTTTGGTATCCTTTGGTGGACCTCTTTGAATGAACCAGATTCTTAACATATTCTCAAACACAAATGGGCGTGTCTTTTTTCTGAGGCAGGAACACCACTTTGTTTTTAAAGACACACCCATAAGTGTCTTTAGTTCTGATCTAATCCTTCACCTCCTTCATGTATCCTCAAAAGAGGGTGAATTATAATATTTCACCAGCCTGAAATGAGGCGGCTGGGGGGCTATTCCCCACGTAAACCACCATTTGGGGTGAGGTCGTGCGAGGTCGATCTCTAAGCTTCCCGCCCCGGCCGCCGGAACCCCTGCGAGCGAAACGAGTCGCGAGTCGGGAGACGGGTCCCACCGACCCAATGCCCCCCCCCCCCCTCACTAGAAACAACCCACCCAGTGGGAGACCAGGTCCGCATGAAACGGGCCCTCAAAAAGGCCCAGGTCCGGGTGCTGTCCGATGCTTAGGGCCAGTAAGAAAATAATAACACCTCATCCCCACCTGTATCCCCACCCCCACCCAAGCAAAAAGCATATCCCACCCCTGCCCACCAAAAAATGAATGGCTTCCCGGCTTCCCCTTTGATCAGCGTGGGTGTGTGTGTGTGTGTGTCAAAAAATATGGATTTGAGCCCACCCCAACCCTAACAAAAAAGAAACAACGGCACTTTTGCCTTTGGTGTCCTTTCAAAAACCTGGGATGAACGAAACTCCACAAATACCGCGGGATCAACCCACCAACCCCGGTGCGAAGCGGATTCTGTCCATCCGCAGTACAAGCACCGAACAGGGTGTCAAGGTGTTCCGTTACAGGGGTCCACAAAAGGTTGCCACTTTGCCAAGCCGATTGTCTTGGCCCACAAACGGAGTACACGGAACTTGATATCTTCTGTCTTTGCTCCATATTTCGTCTACAAGCATCTTGAGTCCTTCTGATGCTTAGTCTACCCCCAGTCACCCCAAAGAAAGACAGCAGGAGATGATCCTTGCCGTATACCCAGGCAAATGGGTGAAATGCAATCTTGGTTCACAAATGTAGTCTAAAATGTGTTTGTTGGCTAATACTGAAATGTACTACTGACCAACTTGTCGTTTTGAAAAAGGGGATGCTCCCTATGAAAGAGCCCTTCATCCCGGTTTTGCACTTGCAATATGACTTTTGTGAGGCGCAGTGACCCCCATTTGGTTGGTTGACTGATGCTAGCGGCACACCCATCAAAAAGGGATTGAGACGGAGCCTCCCAAAAATCCTTCAACTGCACTCAAGGCCTGAGTTTGCCCTTTGTCTTCGTTTGGCCTCATGTCGCCTCATTGGGGTATGTATCAAAATGGAGATGTGGACCCAAAACATGGATTTCGTTTTGTTGGGCTTAGGGTACCGCGCCTCCAACAAAACATTGGCCTCATTTAGCACCTGGAATCACCCCCCACTCCGGGCGAAAGCTGGCCTGGCGACAGGTTGCACAGCGACACCCGCATGTACTCCAGGGAGAGTTGCACCTGAGCAGATAAAATAGTTTTGGAGGAGACTTCAGTTTGGGGACAGCACCCTTTGCGGCCCAAATTAGGAATGTGTGTGTGTGTCTCTAACTGGAAGCTCCTAAACTGGGTGAGGTCGGTGTCTCGTTCAAACTACCCAACAAAGGGGTAACATTGCCAAAAAGACTCCCCTTCAAAAGGGAACAAAAAGGGGAAATCAATGAGCCAACCCAAAGCGTATCCTGAATTTGCTTGTGGAAGTCCCCAGGAAAAATATGACAGTCATGGTACATTCCCTTCAAAACCAAACACGAAAAAGAAAAAGAAACCACCTTCTTTCAGCAAGCTTTAACCATCATATTTTCCTAGAGCCTTTTCACTCACTTCTTTGTAGGTTCCCACAGTAAATAGTTGATAAAAACGGAGAAAAGAAAGAGACGAACGGAGAGGGACAATGAAAGCTCTTCTGCGCTGTTTCGTCCTTTTGAGGCTCACAGGATCGCGGGGGAGTCGTCATGGGAGTTCCAAGATGTTGCCGGAAATTTTCCCACAGCCGGGCAAGATTCTTCTACCTCTTCTAGAGCTGTTCGCTGGGATTCAAACCGCCACTGAAACAATAAAGGTTTGTATTTTGCCACCATTGTGTACCTACCTGGTACCTCAACAAGCTGCCTATTGCGCGTTTTCCAATTTCGGCCGCAATTTCTATGCACGGCCGCAATGGTTCAAGGCAGTGATGCGTTACTTTGCATCGAATCTTTAGACTTTCGAAGCTTTCCACGCACCACGCTGCCTTCCAACCAGCACGATCAGCATGCTTGTTAGCACACGCCGGCGCACAAGTCACTAGTCGATGCCGGGGCAAAAACGCAGAGGGCTGACATACAAAAGTCATAGAGTTTCGACCGCGCCGGCCGCGATTCTGCGGGTTTGCTGGGATTAACTGGCATTTTGTTGCTCTTCTGCGCCAGGGGGGCGTTGCCGGCCGTGGCGGCTCCTTTCTCCACGAAATGGGCTAGGTCCTTCCATTTCTCCTTACACGGAGCAAGTGTGAGCAATGGAAAAAATATCCGGAAATGATAGAGTCCTTGCAAATCAAAAAACCATCTTCTTAAGCAAATGGAAGTTTTGCAAGCAAAGATCAAAAGCCTCCATGTATTCAAAGGGCGCCAAGGGTCATGGCTCATGGCTGAAACCCCCCAAAAACGTCAGTAGCCACTGGGCTGCCAGGGAGTCTTTCCCACTGAGCATCTTGCCAGCGGCTGCGCTCATATGACCGACGTGATTCAGTTTTCATCATACCAGGCCTCATCCTAAGCAATCACACAATGCAACAAGAAAACAGGCAGACAATGCATCTGCTACCAATCAGCGGCATCGCGATGATGCAGTTGCAAGCCGAATCCAATTGACAAGCAAGTCGTCCATGAGGCACTTGGCCGCAAGCAAGCCATGCCCAAAAACGCCTCACGCCTCTTCCCTCATCTGCATCTACATGCACTCCAACGGAACTGCCCCTGTCCCCTGCGGTGATACCAGCGGAGATGGCAACCACTCCCTGGGAAAATGGCAGGGTGACAATCACCAGACTGCGCAACAATCTCTGCAGACCCGTAGCACCAGAAGGCCATCATAGCTGACCTCACGGTGACTCTGGGTGCAATACCTAGACTTTCTGTCCGCAGTAAATGCAACATGTCAACATGTGGCCGGTCAGCGTGAGCTGAGTTGACTTGGAATCACCGGCTGCGCTCATATGACCGTCGTGATTCAGTTTTCATCATACCAGGCCTCATGCTAAGCAATGGACACAATGCAAGGAAACAAGGCAACAATGCAACTGAAACAAGTCAGTGGCATCGTGATGATTCCAATTGCCATGCAAGTCATCCATGCGGCACTTGGCCGCAAGCAAGCCATGCCAAACAACCGCCTCACGCCTCTTCCTTCATCTGCACTCACGTGCACGCCAACGGAACTGCCCCTGTCCCCTGAGGTGATACCAGCGGAGACGGCAACCACTCCCTGGGAAAAAGGCAAAGTGACAAATCACCAGACTGCGCAACAATCTCTGCAGACCCGTAGCACCAGAAGGCCATGATACTTGACCTCACGGTGACTCTGGGTGCAATACCTAGACTTTCTGCACGCAGTGAATGCAACATGTCAACATGTGGCCGGTCAGCGTGAGCTGAGTTGACTTGGAATCAGCGGCTGCGCTCATATGACCGTCGTGATTCAGTTTTCATCATACCAGGCCTCATGCTAAGCAATGGACACAATGCAAGGAAACAAGGCAACAATGCAACTGAAACGAATCAGCGGCATCGTGATGATTCAGTTGCAGGCCGATTGCAATTGCCAAGCAAGTCATCCATGCGGCACTTGGCCGCAAGCAAGCCATGCCAAACAACCGCCTCACGCCTCTTCCCTCATCTGCACTCACGTGCACCCCAACAGAACTGCCCCTGTCCCCTGCCGTGATACCAGCGGAGCTGGCAACCACTCCCTGGGAAAATGGCAGGGTGACAATCACCAGACTGCCCAACAATCTCTGCAGACCCGTAGCACCAGAAGGCCATCATAGCTGACCTCACGGTGACTCTGGGTGCAATACCTAGACTTTCTGTCCGCAGTAAATGCAACATGTCAACATGTGGCCGGTCAGCGTGAGCTGAGTTGACTTGGAATCAGCGGCTGCGCTCATATGACCGTCGTGATTCAGTTTTCATCATACCAGGCCTCATGCTAAGCAATGGACACAATGCAAGGAAACAAGGCAACAATGCAACTGAAACGAATCAGCAGCAACGTGATGATTCAGTTGCAGGCCGATTCCAATTGCCAAGCAAGTCATCCATGCGGCACTTGGCCGCAAGCAAGACATGCCCAAAAACGCCTCACGCCTTTTCCCTCACCTGCATTCACGTGTACCCCAACAGAACTGCCCCTGTCCCCTGCGGTGATACCAGCGGAGATGGCAACCACTCCCTGGGAAAATGGCAGGGTGACAATCACCAGACTGCCCAACAATCTCTGCAGACCCGTAGCACCAGAAGGCCATGATACCTGACCTCACGGTGACTCTGGGTGCAATACCTAGACTTTCTGCACGCAGTGAATGCAACATGTCAACATGAGGCCGGTCAGCGTGAGCTGAGTTGACTTGGAATCAGCGGCTGCGCTCATATGACCGTCGTGATTCAGTTTTCATCATACCAGGCCTCATGCTAAGCAATGGACACAATGCAAGGAAACAAGGCAACAATGCAACTGAAACAAGTCAGCGGCATCGTGATGATTCAGTTGCAGGCCGATTGCAATTGCCAAGCAAGTCATCCATGCGGCACTTGGCCGCAAGCAAGCCATGCCAAACAAGCGCCTCACGCCTTTTCCCTCATCTGCATTCACGTGCACCCCAACAGAACTGCCCCTGTCCCCTGCAGTGATACCAGCGGAGATGGCAACCACTCCCTGGGAAAATGGCAGGGTGACAATCACCAGACTGCGCAACAATCTCTGCAGACCCGTAGCACCAGAAGGCCATCATAGCTGACCTCACGGTGACTCTGGGTGCAATACCTAGACTTTCTGTCCGCAGTAAATGCAACTTGTCAACATGTGGCCGGTCAGCGTGAGCTGAGTTGACTTGGAATCAGCGGCTGCGCTCATATGACCGTCGTGATTCAGTTTTCATCATACCAGGCCTCATGCTAAGCAATGGACACAATGCAAGGAAACAAGGCAACAATGCAACTGAAACGAATCAGCAGCAACGTGATGATTCAGTTGCAGGCCGATTCCAATTGCCAAGCAAGTCATCCATGCGGCACTTGGCCGCAAGCAAGCCATGCCAAGCAAACGCCTCACGCCTCTTCCCTCCTGTGCATTCACGTGCACGCCAACAGGACTGCCCCTTGGCAACAACTCCCTGTGAAAAAATGACTCTTCGGGGGGGTTTAGGTGGCCAATCCTTCTTGTCGTTTACAGGGGAACCCACTTGTCGGTAACCATGTGCCCCAACAATTGAACCCAATACCTTGCTGCCCCCTAGTTCCAAGGGACGACACTAGGTAGGTGCACGCTGGTGTTTCTCAAAAGTAGAGCTCCTCCCCAAAAAGAACTGTTTCCATGTGGTTTCCTGAGAAACCATCCAAACAGTGGCCTTTCCTTTGTCTGCTTTGTGGGTAGGGGGACCTCTAAAATTGAGGTTTTGAGTTGGTCTCCCTTTGAAACAGCTTTCAAAAATGGCACCTTCGGAAAAAAAAATGGGAGAAAAAAACAGTTTTTCCCCCTGATCAACGGATAATCACCCAAGGCCCCTGACACCCAGGAGGCCGCAGCAGGTCTCCACTGCAAAGCAGCGCCAGAACCTCACCACGCCAGTACAGGCCCCACTCACAAAAAATATGTACTTGTGTACTTATGTGTACACATTTGTACGCATTTAAACACACACACACACACAGGACTGAGTGTGATATGTGCAGATACTAAGTGTACTTGCAGTATGCGCCGGGCATGTAGGTGCGTGTCAATGTTGCTGTTGCAACGGTGGCTGCTGCTGTTGTTGCTGTTGCAGCGGTTGCTG